GAGTTTAGTAATAAAGTGGCTCCTGCAGTGGTCTTGGTTGCTTCTATACTTTTATCGCACTCATTGATATCAACGTCACTAACTGTGAAAGGTGACATGGGGATCGGATAGTTCATAATCTAACAATCACCATGTAATATGAAAGTGTAATAATAATGGTCCATAATAACTCATAAGAAACCGTCCGGCTAAATTGGTTTTTTCTGCTAAAAGCGTTGCGAAATACTGGCGACAATGGGTGCGTGTTCGTTATGTTCGATTAGCATGCTTGTCAAAAGCAGCGCTCTCCGTCAGGTCGCATGTTGCGTTGAGTTTAATTTTAATTGTCTCAAAGAATAATCAACACACTCATCAAGGGGAACTCTTTGGGCAGTAATGTCCTTGTTCCCTTCACTTTCCAAGGACCTTGCAGCAAGAGCAATTCCAGGTGGTAGTATAGGCAGTGCTGCCATCACGGAAGATTGGCTCCACCGACTATGCTATCCATATCTATGAAGACAAAACCCACTATAAAACTGATCTTTATAAAAGAAAAGTTGCAAAGTGGAGAGGGTAGAGGAGGGTTTATGTAGACGACGTGTCGCAAGGCATTTTATCTAAAGAGTTACAACTTGCAAAGGTATACAACGAATCCAGTCTCACCCTGTCCCGAGCGTACTGCATGATTTACTCCTCAGGAGTGGTTTTTATTCAGTGTTACGGAAGTATAAAGGCACCCCTGAAAACTGCTGTTCCGGAGAAGGATGGAGAATATGATACTTTTAATCGTTTTCATTAAGTACTAGCTGAGTTTGATCCAGAACGGAATATGAACTACAAACATTTTTATTAGGAAATTTTGAAGAACCCCTGTTTCAAAAGTATAAAGGCGCCCTAGACATGACGACTTCAAAAGTAAAGCTGGTTGCAACTTTTGTCGGCATCCTTAGTGAAAAGACGCTACAGCTTTGGTGATCTGAATCTTTGGAAAAAAAGCTTAAATAAAGCTGAAAAGCTTTATTTTGGCGTCAAGTTCGTGTTAAGGTCAAATATTTCAGTAACTGCTCAAAATGGCTGATCTCGCGGATGTATTAGCAATTATTCTGAGGGCACCTAGCTTCTTGTATAAATAACAAACTTTTGGGAGACTACACTTATTTTCCGAGCACGAACTACGTCATCCAGCACCCGTTTTTCAGCTACACCACGTCAGTCGGTAAGATCGGGTTCGAGTCTTCGCGGCATCGGTAATTACCGTCTGAAGAACTGCCATCCCAGCTTGTGGAGGAGTTCACGATAAAGGCTTCATGATTTAGCGAGTGCCCTACCTGGGGGCAGTTCTTCAGACGGAGAAAGCGAAATAAAGCTTTTCAGCTTTATTTAAGCTTTTTCTCCCAAAGATTCAGATCACCAAAGCTGTAGCGTCTTTTCACTAAGGATGCCGACAAAAGTTGCAACCAGCTTTACTTTTGAAGTCGTCATGTCTAGGGCGCCTTTATACTTTTGAAACAGGGGTTCTTCAAAATTTCCTAATAAAAATGTTTGTAGTTCATATTCCGTTCTGGATCAAACTCAGCTAGTACTTAATGAAAACGATTAAAAGTATCATATTCTCCATCCTTCTCCGGAACAGCAGTTTTCAGGGGTGCCTTTATACTTCCGTAACACTGAATAAAAACCACTCCTGAGGAGTAAATCATGCAGTACGCTCGGGACAGGGTGAGACTAGATTCG